TGAGAAGGCAGAGGAGAAAGGAGATCAGGGACTCTTCCAGGAGCCTCTGGGTAACCAACCATACATATATATGCACTAGTTGTATGAGGTAAATATAAAACCAGGTGAAAGAAACAGAAGACCTGAGGAAATGGAGAGGCTGGTGCTCATGGATAGGAAGATGCAAGATTGTCACAGTCAGCTCTGTTTTAGTTTAGGGTTTTGGTTTTGTGTAGCCCAGTTTGTCTCCCAACATGCTGTTTCGAAGGATGACCTTGAACTACTGATCTTCCTGCCTCAAGTTCCTGAGTGCTAAGATTATAGGCATTTAACGCCATGCCCTGTTTATTTAGCACTGGATCAACCCAGAGCTTCGTGCATGCTAGGCAAGCATTCTACCAATGGAGCTAAGTCAGCTGGCCTGGCACTCACTATGTAGACCAGGCTGGCCTTGATCTCACAGAGATCCACCTGCCTCTGCCTCCTGACTGCTGGGACTAAAAGCATGTGTCACCACGCCTGGCTACAATCTTAATAGTGGTTAATCTTTTTTCTCTTGGTCCTGGGTATGGAATTGGTACATACCAGGCAAGCACTCTACCATGGAGCCATACCCCACAGCCCAACAATGGTTAATCTTTGAATGCTGGGACTACAGACTGTATCTGACAGCTTAGTCTCAACTCTGCTGTACTAACAACAGGAAACTATACTGGCTACACAGAAAATATTCATTTCTCTCTCCTGCTCACCTACCATGGCTGGCTGCTCCTCTGCCCAACACTGGCTTCCCTCTGGGACTCAGAGTGCCAGAACAGTCTCCGACTGAATAGTGCTGGTCACTATGCCAGATGGATGACAGAGACAGTGGTCCACCCACCACTTCTTACAACCAGTGTTGGGCAAGGCCCAAGGCCCTTCTCAGGTTCAATGAGGCAGGGATCTGTGATCCTCCTACACTCCAAGGAGTGGCAGCAAACACTGAGCGGTAACACAGCCCACTACATCGGTTGCTTCATTCCTTTCTTTGCAGAATTCAGTAAGGAAGAATGTGGTTCTATCCCAGGAGATGGATGGCATCACAGAGGTAGGGTCTGAGTCATTAGAGCAGATCAAGGACTGGCAACAGAGCAGTGTATCTGTGGGTTCACTATCTTCCAAGTCAACAAATTCCCAATGGTGAATATGCAAGAAAAAGATTACAACTTGGCAAGAGTCAGTTCTCTCCTACCATTGTGAGTTCTGGGCATCAAACTTGGACCATCTGCTCGATGGCAAGTGCCTTTACCCACTGAACAATCTCAATAGCTCTATTTATATAGATTTACATTGTATGAGGTATTATAACCTAGAACTGACAAATATAGGGGAAGAGGCCAGAGATGGTGGCACATGACTATAATCCTAGCACTTGGGAGGTGGAGGCAGGGCAATCAGAAGTTCAAGATCATCTTCAGCTATATAGAGTGCACCAGGCCAGCTTAGATAACAAGACCTTGTCTTAGAAAAGGAAACAATACTGAGACGACAAAGTCTCTACGGAGGAGCAACCCTTTGATGGACAAGCCATGGAAGAACCCCGCTCCCATATTGTCATGTCTGGAAGTAGCCATGTGCCCCTCATTCCCACCCCAGGATAGAGAGCAGGAGATGGAGGTCATTAGGGCTCCCCCAACTGGATTTATCTTTGGAGGCTTGAGGAAGCATTCAACTGGGCTCCACCCCCAGGAGGCTCTGATTCATCTGGGAAGGGTGGGACCAGGCTGAGTCATAGAAGGTGATCAGGGCCATCCTGACCTGGCCTTGGCTCCCATCCATCCCCCTACGCAGGCTCTGTGAGGTGCCCCGGCGGGGAGGGGGGGGCAGACATCTCAGGTGGCACAAGCCCTGGCAGTTGGGAGAAACCTGAGTGGGTATGGGTTATCTGATGGAGCACCTGCTCGGGCCCTGCGATAGCTTCTTGAATATCAAGATCAGGAAGGGGTACCCTTGAGCAGTATGGCTCACCTGCAAGTTGCCCAGGACTAGGCCTTCCTGGGCCCCAGAGGTACAGAAGTTAGTAAGATAAACAAATCTTCCCCTTCCTTGTTCCCAGCCCCTCAGAACCAAATGAGCTCCAGGCTCCCACAGCTGCCTACACATCTTGATTGACAGCCCTGGGGTTTATCTCTCTGCACATCTGTCAACGTGGCAATAAGTTCCTTGAGAGCTGGGACAGGTCTTATTCCTCTCTTCATGCCCAGTACAGTGCCTGGCACGATGAATAGCTCATAAATAAAGGAGAGGGAGTAACACTTACTAGTTACCACAGGGTCAAGGAAGGACTGACATTCACACCCACCAGCACATGGGAAATGCACGTGCTCACCTCTGAGAGGTGGGGGGAACCCCATCTTTCATCACCCAATAGAGGCTGAGCCCAGCATGCTCCATCTGCACGGGTCCTAAATCACTTTTGGCATCAAAGTACCCTTTGACAAGATAAGGGATTAGAGTTTCAGAGCGTTAGGCTGAAGATGTAGCTCAGAGACTTGCTTAATGTTAAGCAAGTGGCAAGTTCTATCCCCAGCACTGCAAAACAATCCAACAAACATGGTGGGGCTCTGATGAGTGTTCAGGTCCCAGTGCCACAGACACACAGCATGGCAGGGGGCTCAGGAGAATTCAAACCCTCCAAGGCAGAGTGAGGGTCCCTATCTATAGGGCTGAGGGGAAGGGGGAGGCTTCTTGTAGTCAGGCTGTCTCTGATTCCTCCAAGGGCAGCAGGGGAGAGGAGGGAATCTCGCACTGCTAGGAAGGAATATGCCACGCTGAGGATGTGGGGGACGTGAGGAGCACATCGAGCTTCCATTATACTGGCAGTCCTCTCTGTAGGTGGCTTGTCATTTCCATCATAGCTGTTGTTAAGAAAGAGGCTGTTGGGCTGGAGAGATGGCTCAGCGGTTAAGAACACTGAATGTTCTTGGAGAAGACCCAGGTTCAGATCCCAGCACCCACATGGCAGCTAACAACTGTCCATAACTCCAGTTCTAGTGGATCCGACGCCCTCTTCTGTCCTCCTCGGGCATTGCACGACATGGGTGCACTTCCATACATGCAGACAATACATGCATACACAAAAAATAAAAATAAATAAAATATTTAAAAAAGAAGCTGTGGCAGGTGGGTGTGGCCTGAGCAAGCTACCTGATGTGGATTCTAACAAAAATCAACCCATTTTAAAAGAGGGAAAGCTGAGGGTTCAGTGGTAGAACGACTGTCCAGCCTGAGCAAAACCCTTGGTTCCATTCCTGGCACTGCAACAACAAAGGAACATTCTTTTTTAAGGAGAGATGGTAATTAATGAATGTAGAAGGAACAATAGAGTCAGAACTCAATTATTCTGAAATCTTCAGTTTAAGACATGATTTGGCCAAGAGTCATCAGCAGATGCCAAAGTCACAGGTCAAATGACTGTCTGGGACAGTCACTTGATCTCAAGGGATCGCGCTACAATTTCAAGGAAAAGATGCAGCTGTGCAGTGAATAAGCAGGACATCTATCTGTTTGGCAAGTCATCAAAATTAGCATACTGATGGAGGGCTGGCCTGGCATTATGGACATTGCTACACAACATCCAATGCAGTATTTTTGTGAAAGAGATTGAAATTGATGGGGCTGGAGATATAGTTGGTAGAGTATTTGCCTAACATGAACAAAGCCCCAGTACTACATAAAACGAGGTGTGGTGGTACATGTCTGTAATTCCAGAACTTGGGAGGTGGAAGCAGGGGAATCAGAAGTCATCTTGGGCTATATAGTAAGTTTGAGACCAGCCTGAGATACATTAGACCCTGTCTCAAAACATGTTTTTATTAAAAAAATAGGGGCTGAAGAGGGCTGGAGGGATGGCTCAGCGGTTAAGAGCACTGGCTGTTCTTGCAGAAGACCCGGGTTTGAATCCCAGCACCCACATGGTGGCTAACAACCATTTGTAACTCCAGTTCCAGAGGATCTGACACCCTCTTCTGTCCTCCATGGGCATTACACAGAATGGGTGCACTTACACATATGCAGGCTCACACACTCATACACATAAACTAAAAATAAATAAATCAGGGGCTGGAGAGATGGCTCACTGATTAAGAGTACTGACTGCTCTTGCAGAGGACCTGGGTTGGTATTCCAGCACCTACAAGGTGGCTAACAACCAGTTCCTCCAGTTCCAGGGAATTCAAAGCCCTCTTCTGACCTCCGGCATTGCACGACACAGGTGCACTGCACACATGCAGGCAATACACTCATACACATAGAATAAAAATAATAAATAAGCAGAGCATGGTGGCATACACCTTTAACGCCAGCACTTGGGAGGCAGAGGCAGGCGGATCTCTGTTGGTTAGAGGAGAGACTGGTCTACATAGCAAGTTCCAGGCCAGCTAGAACAGCAAGGGAGAACTCTGTGAGTTCAAGGCCAGCCTGGTCTACATAGTGAGTTCCAGGCCAGCTGGGACTACAGAGAGACCGTCTCAAGAAAACAAAACAAAAACAAACAAAATAGTGCATACTAATCTTGCAGAGGACCAAGTTTGATTTCAAGCTCACAAGTCCCTAGCTCCAGCTCCAGGGATCTAGCACCCTCTTCTGGCCTCCATGGGCACCTGCACTCATGTGCACACACCCACACACATAGACACATAATTAAAAATAAAATAAATATTTTAAATGTTTTATTATTTTTATTTTTGTTGTTGTTGTCTTTTGTCTTTTTGAGACAGGGTCTCCCTGTAGCCCCAGCTGTCCTGGAACTCACTGTGTAGACCAGGCTGGCCTTGAACTCAAGAGATCTGCCTGCCTCTGCTTCCCGAGTGCTGGGATTAAAGGCTTGTGCCACCACACCCAGCTATTTTTATTTTATGTGTATGACTGCATGTAGGTAAGTGCACCCATGTCATGCAATGCCTGCAGAGGACAGAAGAGGCCATCGGATCCCCTGGAACTGGAGTTACAGACAGTTGTTAGCTGCCATGTGGGTGCTGGGATTCAAACCCAGGTCTTCTGCAAGAACAGCCAGGGTTCTTAACCGCTAAGCCATCTCTCCAGCCCCTAAAATAAATCTTTTCTAAAATTGAAAAATAAAGTTGAACCTGAATTCAGTCCTTGGGAAACACTGGATACATCCAGAATGTGGGATACATTTCATAAAATAAATTGGCCTTGGCTGAAAAACTCAATGGTTTTGTAAATACCTCATTCTTATATTAAATTCCTTCCTGTTTAAGATAATCAGAGGGGACTTGGTTCCACTGACTCATACAAGTATCTCAGGCCTCACTCTGGAAGTGGAGAAGGCTTCTCAGATGGAGGCAAATCCCTGTAGAAAGATTTCCAAATACTGCTTGTTATTTGGTATCCCAAAAGGCCAACAAAAGCTGGTGTGTGTGTGATGAGCAAGTCACAGCCAAGTAACACACACATGATGGTCTGTAAATCCTAAGATGCTGGGTGGGATGCCAGTTCCCAGACCAGGTATGTCCTTCCAACCATTCACTGTAGCCATTCCCCCAGGGATGCCAGGGCCAAGCAACAACAACTCAAAGTAGAGATGGCACCTGCAGGCAGAGGAGGGATGCTTGCCATCCTGGTCCAGCCCTCCAAGTCTACCTGGCATTGCTCTGTGATCCAAGAACATATGGTCATCTTCCTGACACAGGCAAGAGGGTTCTGTGCTGCCAGGCCTCTTGAAGTTGAGGCAAAAGGGTCAGTAACAGAGAATCCAGCACAGCTAGACCCTCCCAGGAACACCGGAGACCCCTGGAAAACCAAGAAGCCTGGATGTGACTCTTTCATCTTACAACTTTGAAGTCCATGCCTATGCATGCAGTCCTGGTACCCTACAGGCCCCTCCTTACCATTCTTGTTTTGGGGTCTCTAGATCTGTAGTCAGGATTCCCAGGGACCCCTCAGCCCCATCTGCACACCACCCCCAACAGACCTGTGGTCCAGCAGCAACAGACCCTGTGCCAGCAGCTCCTTCACCTCCTTGCTTGCTCCAAACACATCCCACAGGGTCAGCTGGGGCTCAAACTGCTGCCAATGCTGGGAAAGCAGAAGAGACAGGGTGATGGCTGAGGGTCACGTGGCTGGGGTACAGAGAGGGGTGAGGGAGAGCGGGGTCCAACATGATGTCTCAGCAGTGACACTAATGAACACCAGAACAGGCCAATGGGCCAGACGACAAGTGGGTACCTTTACTCTTATTGCATGTGGAGACCCAAACTCAGCTTCTAGCCAAGCCAGGTCTCCTCCTCTACTCTCTCCCAGTGTCCCCTCAAATGGCCAGCACCAGCCAGGGCTTCACAGACAGTTCTGACTTCATCCACAGTAGCTCTCAGTCTGATCTGCCATTTTCTATTGTACTTTATACCTGAGGTGTCAGTGTGCTTTAGAACAAGATGGAGACCGGGGAGATGGCCCAACAGGTAAGAGCACTTGTGCAAGTACAAGGACCTGAGTTCAAATCCCTAGAACTCTTGTAAAACGCTAGGTGAGGTTTGTGTGCCTTTAACCTCAGCACTGTGGGGGGTGGTGATGGCTGCCAGCCTGTCACTAGGTTCAGAGAGAGAGAGAGAGAGAGACAGAGAGAAAGCTCCTGTCTCAAGAGAATTAGACAGAAAGTAGAGGACAGCTGACATCCTCCTCTGGCCTCTATATGCACATGGGTGAGAGTACTTGCACACACATCCATGTATATACAGCACACACAAGAATATTTGGAGTTCCAGGAATATGGCTCAGTGTCTCAGTGGTAGAGCATTTGCCTAGCATGGGTTCTAGGTTTAATCTCTAAGCATTATGAAAAAAAAATTTTTTTTTTTGGAAACCCTTTATCTAGTTTGCTTTATCTAGTTTAGTCCTTCACATAGCTGAGAAAGTCAAAGTCAGAAGAGGTGAAAGGATTTTAACTCAAGGTCACAGTAGAATAAAGCCCAGAACCAAGTCTCTGCAGCCCTAATCTACCATTCTAACCATTGCAGCACACTGCCTCTCGCCTCTCCAGCTGCCAACCCAGAGGTTGCGAGGCATGGACTGAATCTGCAAGACTCAAGAGACCAAAAGGTACCTGAGAACCTCCATCCCTTACCTGGTGGGTGATCCCCACGTCAGTACGCAGCCCCATAGCCAGAACCTCCTCCAACCTGAAAGAAAATCATGGGACCTTAGAGAAAAGACCTGTGGCCTTCACCTTCTTCAAGCAGATGCTGGGATGTGCTCAGAGCTCATGCAGCATGGGGTAGTGGAGGGGAAGTAAAACAGGCAATAAAGATACCCTCTTGGAGGGGCTTTGGGGTGCAGGAGAGATTGGGTGAATCAAGTACTCACAGCTCCAGCTGGCCCAGGGGCACACGCTTCCGAGTACCATGACCAAACAGTATCACCTCCTTCATCCAGTTGTCTGGCTCCAGTGTCTGGATCCGGGCCTCCCGGGTGTGGCCTCCATCCCCCTGGGGTGTAAATCGCCCATGGGCCCCTGACAATATCAACAACCACCTCCACATTAACAGGAGCTAACCAGGTAAGCTATCAAATTTAAACCAGGGATTTTCAAAGGGTGGTCCCTGGAAAAACACCTAATATTTTATGAATGTAAATCCTCAGTCCCTGCTCCAGCCTTGCCCAAGAGACGTTCTGGAGGTGGGACCCCTCATTCTGGGTTGCAACAAACCTCCAAGGGTTTCTGTTACATGCCAAATACTCAGAACCACAGCACCAGGCTACCATGTGTCAAGGGCCTCCACAGCTCTGACAGGGCGGTATTAGGCACTTTGCATTTGAGGAAATACAAGCTCGGAGAAGTTAAATGAGCAGCCCAAGTTCACACATCCGGATGTTTCTCTCCTGAATCATGCTTTCAGTTGTTCACAGGCGACTCACCAGGCCCAATGCCAAGGTACTGACCACACTGCCAGTAAGTCCAATTGTGGGTACTGAGCGCCCCCTGCGGGGAAGGAGGGAACAGTCAGTGCAGAAGGCAGAGGTATCCAGTTCTGTTCAGTTAAGAGACATCTATCTGATTGAAATGTCCCAGTGCTTCAGGCCTGAGAACACTCAACAGAGACCCTTTTCTTCAGAAGGTCCCAGTTCCCTGGTCACACCTCAGTTCACTGCATCTCCAGCCATCAGCCCAGCACTCACATTCCTCGCAAAGTTGGAGACTTCATACTGCCGAAAGCCAGCCTCTCGAAGGACTGCCCTGCCCTCCTGGTACATCTCGGCAGCCAGCTCTGGGTCAGGGGCTGGAAGGGTACCCTGTTGCACCTGAGTGAACAGTGTAGTACCCCGCTCCAGGGTCAGCTGGTAGAGGGAGAGATGATCATCACAGTGGTACAGCAGTTCCTGCAGCTGCCCCAGCCACTGGTCCATCTTTTGTCCAGGCAGCCCCAGCATCAGGTCCACAGATACGCAACCAGGGAAAAGGCGCCTCGCCTCTGCCAGAGTCTGCAAAGCATCACTGACTGAGTGAGTCCGTCCCAGCAGCTGCAGCTCAGTGTCATCCAGGGACTGGGGAGAAAGGGTCAGGTCTAAGTATGCTGGCTCAGAGGGAGACAGGAATGCTCAGCTTTAGTATAGACATATATGTGGAGGACACACAGCAGGGAGCAGAGAGATAGGGGTGGTCAAGGCAATGCCTATAGCTCCTGTTCAATGAAGGGTGCATTTAATCCTTATAACTCTCAGATACTAGCTGTTTGGTTTTACTCTGTACTGCTGGCTGGCCTGGAACTCAGTAAGTAGTCCAGGCTGGCCTCAAACTTGTGGGCTATCCCACCTCTGTCTCCTGAATGCTGGGATTACAGATGTGTACCTCCATGCCTGGCAGAAAACAGTCCCATTTGACAGACGAGAAAGCTGAGTTTTGGAGACATTAAGTAAGTCATCTGAGGCCAAATGACTGAAGCATCAAGTCAGGAATTTAGGACTGTGTGATTCCTACCTTCACAGACTTTTAAATTAATTTTTAAATACTGAGATAACTCAAACCTATAGAAATGTGGAAAGAAAACATAGGCTCTCTATCTAGATTCACTAAAGCAGAACAAACACAGCCCAAAAGGGGTTCTCTCTCTCTCTCTCTCTCTCTCTCTCTCTCTCTCTCTCTCGCTCAAGTTAGTTTTAAACTCATACCAATCCTCCTGCCTCAGCCTCCAACATGCTGAGATTACAGTTGTGTGTCACCACACCCAGCCCCAAGGGTCTCTTAATTTAGGTTTACCTGGTGTTTCCTCACAATTATTTCTAAAATATGCATTTTGGAAGCTAGGTATGGTGGTGGGAATCTATAATCGCAGTTCTTAGGAGGTGGAGACAAGAGAATTAGGAATTCAAGGCTAGCTGAGCCGCATAACAAGTTTAAGGCTAGCCTGAGCTACATGAGATCTCAAAAAATAAATGTATTTTGAGCAAGAACATCTTAAACATGATGTGCCACCTTTTCGGCTACCCCACTACCCCAAACCCTCTTCTTTTTTGGTCTTTTTGAGATAGGGTCTCTCTGTAGCCCCAGCTGGCCTGGAACTCACTGTGTAGACCAGGCTGGCCTCAATCTCACAGAGATCCTCCTGAGTACTGGGATTAAAGGTGTATACCACCACGCCCAGCTGGAGAAGTGGTACTCTTGAAGCAACCTGGGATATCAGGTAGTTGTGGAAGGCAAGGCATGAGAGTACCAGATAGGGAAACAGCAGAGATCAACCTCAAAGAGATTCTCCCGACATACACCTTCAGTGGCTCCCCTTTCACCATGGGAGAAAACTCAAACTCTCATAGGAGCTGAAGGTGCCCACTTGGCAGCCCTGTTTCCAGTCTTTCCAGGCACATGGAATGATTCAGCCTTTTCCAAAACATGCGAAGCCCTTCTACATCCTGTGCCTTTTCCTCCCACACCCTTACTTGGTAGATACCTGCTCTGTCTCACTCACACATCACTTCCTCCAGGAAGGCTTCTATGGTTTCATCAAGCTGGGTGCCCTTTGGGCAGTATTCTCAAAGTGTTTTGCAGCAATTCCTTCTAGAGATAGCATTTACCACATCACAATGATCTGGCATCCAGCCTGCCTCTTCATCATATAACAAGCCCCACCCCTTTTTTCTTTCTCACATGTTTATGTGTATGTGTAGTGTGCAGGTGTATGCATGTTCACACGTGTGTGCAGGTTTGTATGGAAGCCTAAAGTTGACACTGGGAGGCAGAATTTTTCCCTACTTTAGTCATTGAGTTAAACCTAGAGTTTGTTAATATGGTTAAGTCTGGCTAGCCAGCTTACTCTGGAGACTCCCTTAATCTCTACCTCTCAAGTGCTGGAATTACAAGCACGCCTCCATAACCACCCAGCATTGATATGGGTGCTGGGGATCAGAACTCCAGTCCTCAAATGTGTAGAGCAAGTCCTTTAACCCCTGAACCATCTCCCTTCCCAACCTCCCCTGCCTTTTTGACTACCTACTATGTGCCAGGCACTAGGCTGAGTGTCTGGAATATAAAAGTGCATGCTAGCTGGGCCTTGTGTCTGTAATCCCAGCACTGGGGAGAGTGAGTTAGAAGGACTGCTGTGAGTATGAGGCCAACGTGGCCTACTGTGTGAGATCCTGTCTCAAAAAAATATTATAGACAGGCGTGGTAGCACACACCTTTAATCCCAGCAGAGCAAGGAGGATCTCTGTGAGTTCAAGGCCAGTCTGATCTACATAGTGAGTTCCAGGTCACCTGGGGCTACAGGGAGACCATTTCTCAACAAGATGGAAAAAAAATTTATCATTATCTTACTTTTGCTTTATTTATTCCACTTTCATCTCTGTGTGTGTGTGTGTGTGTATATATATATATACATATATATAAATAAATTAATAAATGGCCCTGGGTTTGAGCTCTAGCACCACATGAACTGGGCACATGGCTGTAATCTAGATACTAGGGAAATGGAAGCAGGAAGATCAGGAGCTCAAAGTCATCCTTGGCTACATATTGAATTTGAGGCCAGCCTGAACTACATAAAACCCTACTGGGGCTGGAGAGATGGCTCAACAATCAAGAACACTGGTTGTTCTTGCAGAAGACCCGGGTTCGAATCCCATCACCCACATGATAGCTAACAACTGTCCTAACTCCAGTCCCAGAGGATCCGACAGCCTCTTCTGACCTCTGCAGGCATTGCACAACACGGGTGCACTTACCTACATGCAGGCAATACATGCATACACATAAAATAAAAATAAATAAATAAATATTTAAAAATATTAAAAAACAAAAACAAAGAAACCCTATCTTGGGGTTGGAGAGATGGTTCAGCAGTTAAAAGTATTGGTTGCTCTTTAAGGGATCCAGGTTCAGTTCCCAGTGGCCACATGGGGGCTAACAACTGTCTGTAAGTCCAGTTCCAGGGGATCTGACACCCTCTTCTGGCCTCTGAGGGCACTGCATGCATGTGGTGCACTTACATAGTTGCATGCAAAACACTCCTACATAAAAAATAAAAATAAATCAAAAAATTTTAAGTTCCTGTCTCAAAATAATAACAGTAATAAATAACAGCAAAACCCTGCCTCAGGGAGTGTATGGGCCACTATAGCATCGATAAAACTGGTACACTGGGTTCTTGCACCCAGAAATGTATTCTCAATGACTGAATGCCACCCTAAGGGAGACAGCTATGAATGTCTGGGTGCACTGGAATAAGATGGGTAAGTACCTGTAGGCCAATGGACAACCTGTTGACTCCAGCTGCTCCAAAAGCTGCCAGCCTAGGGCCTGGGGCTGAAGTGGGATTAGCCTCCAAAGTAACTTCTGAGTCTGCTGGCAGGTAAACTGCCTGGGCCACGGCTTCCAGGACAGCAGCTATAGTGTGGGGACTGGCCAGACTGGGAGTCCCCCCACCAAAGAACACAGATTCCACCCTGGAGGAAGAGGATGGAGAAGGTAAAACCGGGGGAAAGCCCCCAGGGTCAGTCGTGTCCACTTCCCCAAGACCTCACCTACTGTCACCAATACCGACCTTTGCACCCCGCTGAGCCGAAGCAGCGACTGTGCCTCGGTCACCAGACAGTTCCGCATGGCCCCCTCATCCACGCCACGGGGGATGTACTTGTTGAAGTTGCAGTAGCTGCACCGCTTCTCGCAATAAGGCCACTGTGGGGGCGGGGACACACAACACACGACACACATGTGCGCGCTGAGTTGCCCTGGCCACTTTCCAGGGCTCATCTCACACATTCCCATTCAGCACTAGACCCAGACATTTGTCCCCAGGGTGGGGGTGGGGACAGAAGCTCTCACAGATCTCATGTGGGGGTAGGGAATGACCGCGGGTGGGCTCACCGTGTGCACAGCGCCTGCCGGGGCCACCTCCTCCCTCCTCCCTCCTCCCTCCCCCGCCCACTCACGTGCACGTAAAGCGCCGCACGCCTGCAGGCGCGCTCAGGACTCGGGGACTGTCCCGGACTGTCCACACGGGGGCGCCTCCGGGTCGCCCTGACCGAGGCCACCCAGCTGCGGGCTTGGGCACCGGAAGGAATCATGGCGAGCAAAGCGATAGAGAGCTGGGATCCGAGACCCAGATGCACCCAGGATGCACGGGTGTGCGCTGCGCTTGGCCTCGTGGGTCGCCCCGGCGGAAGTAAAAGGGCTGGGTGACCTCGTGTTACCTCTCTCGGCTCGCCTAGAGAGCCCCTGGCCTCAGCTCTGCGGCGCCACCTGCCAGACACTGGCGCGCTCTCAGTCTGTCCTTTCCCAAGGACGCAGCCTGGAGTCCTTTGCCCAGTACTTGGGGCATGCATCCGGCTTCTTGGCAACCTGGCCAGGCAAAGTACCTTAACCCATGCAGGAGTTCTTAGTTAATTCAGTCAGTTTCCTAGTGCTTTATGGGTCTGGCTCAGAGCTAGGCAGGGGGACACCAGGGTGCACAATAACAGTTCACAGTTCTGCCTATTGGCAGGAAGCAAATCAAGTCAGGACAACTCAGTTCTATGCCAGCTGGCTGCCAGGCCATGTGCTGGGCTGGAGGTGGTCCGGTGCAATAGAGTGGGAGTCAGTGGGAAGGAGGCTCTTGAACTGGATATTAGAGGTACAGAAAATCCTTGTGAGCTAGAGTTGGTGGCTCACACCTGTAATCTCAGCACTCAGGAAGATACAACAGAATTACCGTGAGTTTCAGGCCAGCCTGGGCTACAGTGTGAAACTCTTTGTCTCAAAAAATCATAAAAGGTGCTGGAGAGATGGCTCAGAGGTTGAGAACACTGGTTATTTTTGCAGAAGACCCGGGTTTGAATCACAACACCCACATGGCAATTAACAACTGCCTATAACTCCAGTTCCAGGGGATCCACCGGCCTCGTCTGTCCGGAGGGCATTGCATGACACGGGTTCACTTACCTACATGTGGGCAATACACATAAAATTTTTAAAAAATTAATTATTTTTTTAAAAAATCATAAAAGAGAGGCAGAGGGATGGCTCAGCAGGCAGGTAAAGGTGCTTGTTGTGCAAGCCTGGAGACCTGAGTTTAATCCCAAGAACCCACATAAAGGTGGAAGGAGAGAACCAGCTCCACAAAGTTGTCCTCTGACTTCTGCATGTGCCCCATAGCATGTAATAAATTGATTAATTAATTAAAAATAAAAAAAAGAAAAGAAATCTGGGCATGGGAGCACAAGTCTGAAATCCTAAATCTTGGGAGGTAGAGCGAGAAGGATCAAGAGTTCAAGGTCATGCTTAGCTACATAGTGAGCTTGAGGCCTGGCTGGGCCACATGAGACTTTCTCAAAAAAGGGAAAAAGAAAGATTGGAGAGATGTCTCAGCAGTTAAGAGTACTTGCTGCTCTTGCAGATGACTGGGGTTCAGTTACCAACACCCACATGGCAGCTAAAAACCATCTGTGGATCTAACTCCCTCTTCTGGCCTTTGGGTATTGTATAAACCCGAAGTGTATTTACATATATGCAGGCAAAACACTCATATACATAAAGTAAAAAAAAAAACTTAAATTTTTTTTTTTTAAGGAAAAAATAAAGGGGAAAGAAGAGACGAGAAAAGCAAAGAACCCCATAGAGAATTGGCTTGGCCAGGAGAGTAGACTGTCGTCTCTGGATTGGGCCAACCCCAGGCACCTGATGGAAATGGTATAAGCAATGGTGTGGGCAGGAGAGGCAAGGCACATGTGAGGGTCTCAGAGGGACTGTCCCCCAGGGTAGAAAGATCATGAGCTTTGGATTCACTCATTGTAAGGCAATTCTCACCCTTTTTCTAGCTTGTAATCCTCAAGAATAACTAGAATGTGCTAGAAGTGCAGCATCCAGACAGAACAGTCTAAGCTCTCCATTCCAGTCCTCTCTGGAAACTATCCTTCAATGCTTTATCCCAATACTGTGTGGCTCTAGGACATAAAACTTAGAGTGCGTCATTTCCCTGTCCTTCAGCTGCAGTATAAGTGGGGCACACCCAGATAAGACCCCCATCCACAAAGAGCAACTCTCCTGATCCTGGGGCACCAGTTTGAGTGAGTCTCAGCCCTCTTTTCTCCCTTGATGTCTATCTCTAAGTAATACACATGCTTCATGTAACATGTGTGGGTGTTTTGTCTGTGGGACCCAAGCAAGCTGGTGACCAACACAAGGAAAACCTGCTTCAGACAGCTGAGTTCTAGAAGATCCAATTCTACTGCCACTGGGAGAAGCCAGTGGCTCAGAAGACAGAATGTTGGGGGAAAGAAAGCTGGCTTGGAGGATGGTGGGTCAGACTCCCTTAGCTCCATCTTGTTACTAAGGGTGAGCTTTTTATACCATTTTTTCATTTATTTATTTTATTTATTTGTGTATACATATGCATGTATGTGGGTATGCATGCCACAGTGCTCATATGATAGTCAGAGAACAACCCAAGGGAGCTTGTTTTCTCCTATCATGTGGTTCCCAGGGATGAAACTCAGTTTGTCAGGTTTGGTAGTAAATACATTCTACCTGCTGAGCCAGCTAGCAGGCACCCTTTATGCAGTTTTTTTTTAAAAATATTATTTATTATTTCATGTGATAAGTGTATTGCCTGCATGCATGTAAGTGCACTCATGTCATGCAATGCCTGAAGAAGTCAGAAGAGGGTGTCAGATCCCCTGGAACTAGAGTTACAGGTGGTTGTTAACCACCATGTGGGTGCTGGGAATTGAACACAGGTCCTCTGCAAGAGCAGTCAGTGCTCTTAATCTCTAAGCCATCTCTTCAGCCCCCTTTTATGCAGTTTTTAAAGGGGAAAGGGATGCAATTCCCAGATGGGTAGACACTAAGATTATTTATCTTTTTTTAGCCAAGATTAGTGATAATCCCAACTTTGTGGATCTAAAACAAAACATAAATCAGCTGACCAGTGTGCAGTTTTTGTTGTGGCTAACTCCTACTCTGATTTTCCAATGGTCATTGTTCCAGCTGTGATTTTTTTCTAGTAGCTTTGTTGGGGACTGTTTGTTTTTTGTTTTTGTTTTTGTTTTTGGTGGGGGGGATATGGCATATTTCTAGATAGCCTTGGTGTGTAGTTCAACAAGAAAAAAGGACACAAAATCTGCCTGGCACCGTGGCACATACCTGTAATCCTAGCATTTGGAAGGCTGAGACGGGAGGTTCACCATGAGTTAGAGGTCAGCCTGGAGCTCCCGTCTCCCAAAAAAAGGCGGGGGGAGGGAGGAAGGAAGGAAAGGCAAGAACATAAAGTCTAAACCAGGGAGAATTTAATTTTCTGTAACCCACTGAGTGACTTCATGACCTTGAGAAAGATGGTAGATTTTTCTGTGTTTCAGTCATTATCTGAGAAGTGGATCAATGCTCACTTAATGAGGCTGCTGAGATTTCAAGAGAGGCTGGTATGTGAAAGCCTGGCCCTTAAGAGGACCCTAACATATGCTCATTTCTTCAACAGTAAGGAGGTACGGCAGCTGCAGCTGCTGAGACAGTCATACTGGGAGTTCAGGGCTGCAGACAGGAGCAAAGTTCCTGGCTCTTCCAACTGGAAATTGAAATGGAGGGGAAAACCTGAGGAAATCCTTGCTTCACCTTACATGCTTTTAGTTACCTGCATTTACTTGACTTTAAAAATCAGTAATTGTGAGCCGGGAATGGTGGTGCATTCCTTTAATCCCAGATCTCTGTGAGTTCAAGGCCAGCCTGGTAAACATAGTGAGTTCCAGGTCACTTGGGGCTACAGGGAGACCCTGTCTCAAAAAGACCCCCAAAAAAAGAAATCAGTAATTGTGGTCCAGCAAGATGGCTCCAAGAGTAAAGGCACTTGCTGCCTGATGATACAAGCCTATGGACCTGAGTCTGATCTCCAGAAGCCATGTAAAGGTGGAAAGAGAGGCTGTCCTCTAGTGTCCATCTGTGTGCTGTGTCATGTGTGCCTAGACAGAGAGAGAGAGAATAAACACATAAATACATAATAAAAATAAATATAAATAATCGGAAGAAAGTCATGGTGGCACACATTTGCAATTGCAGCACTCGGGAGGTGGAGGCAGGAAGATGGGGTTTAAGTAAAATCCTCAGTTCCACAGGGAGTTTGAGACCTCTTTGGGCTATACTGACCCTGCCTCAAACAAACAGACAAATCAATAATTGGACTGGAGATGTAGCTAAATGGTAGAACACTTGCCTAAGCATGCTTGGGGCCTTGAGTTTCATCCCCAGTACAGAAAA